TATACACAGATAAAGAATTAACAGATGTAGAGACCTGGAATCAGTGTAGCGAATTAACAGATCTATAAACCAGGTACACGCATATAAAGAATTAATAGATGTAGAGACCAGGTATACACAGATAAAGAAAGAACTGTTAGCAGTAATCTGTGAGCTTTAGCGATTTCATCAGTAGACAGACTAGTTTCTATACATTCTGCTCATAAGCCGTTAGAAGCCATTACATAGTACCCACAAGCGATTGAAAACGAATATTTTAAGGATTACAGCAGTACAATGTAAACCTAGTATATTACACAAGAAGGAAGATACATCTGAAGCTAGTACATTTAAAAATGCATACTTACCCAATGAATTACCAGATTTCACGTGAAGCAGAGCTATCCATTGAAATAATCAGATAACTTTTTACTTTCATGAATGTAATTAATTAAGTGTACAAGATGGTATAATCCTCAAAGGCAAAAGAATAGTCATACAGAAGTCACTCAGAAACGATTTGGGTCAACATATTCATTTCACACACATTGGCTTAGAGGGATGTTTACAAAGAGCCAAAGAACGTATTCTTTAGACACGCATCAAAGTAGACATTAAGGCTGCATTAGGGAATGTTATGTGAATAGCTCACTTCACTCATCATGGCATACATATATCTCATACAATGCAGAAAATATGAGAGGAATTTAAGGATATTTAGTGGAAAGTACTGTTTTTAGTATATAATATAACTCATGTGATATTCATAAAACAACAGAGAAGTAAAATGTGATGTAAAGAAAACACAGAATCTCCTGAATGTCTCATATAAATAACAATACTTTCATTTTCAACATATCATTGAACTTCTCTATATTCCTGCGTGAACATACATCTTGAATAAATTATAGATCTGTCTCTCTCTAACCAGTTATTGGTAACGCGTTTGAAAAATCAATATAGTCTATGCTCAGGTTCGTGCTTCACGACAAATCGTATGAAACCAACTATTAGAAGCAGTTATTATTACCTGATACAATAGAAAGATATCGATGGGATCTCTTAGACATCTTTTCCCAAATTCGGCAATATATTACGTTTTTAATTGTTAGATTTAAGTATATAAAGGTGATTGATTGGACCCACATTTGTAAAACAACTGATCGCTCTGAAAACTAATATCAAGTTGGCCATTACGCACCATATCACGATATAGATGATTCTCAATACTGAAAGACAGTTTAGAATAGTACAGACATCAAGCACACAGTTGTAAGCTGTAAGTGGTGGTGGAGGAGGTAATTTTCCCAGGAACCTCGGAAATGGTTTCCACGGTAGTCATCGTCAAGGTTCTAGTCCAGCAACAAAGTGACAATGTACCATCTAAGCTGCTTTTGATGTCTCAGTAGTCACAATTTTGTGGTGGGGACAACCCATAGTGGGAAGTACCACATCTCACTTTCGCAAGTTGAATCATGCTTTTATGGATGACCTTTATCATGGACAAATGTTCCATATCAGTTGTCAGACAAGGTTACAAGATCCAGTTTGCTAGCAAACCATCATTGAAGATGTGCCTATCACAGGGAGGCAGAATCTCTCTGCCTTTTACTCAACATTTTCTTGGTCAACAGAAATAAAACAGTGGGCTTTTATTGAGCTAAGTAGAAAACTCCGCCTATGTGCTTCAAAATATTTATTCAAGCCATTTAGAATCATTAGATCTAAAAGAAAGGCATGCATTGATTCATTCTGAAAGTTGCCGATAACGGAATTTCATGATTAAATATTTGCCCCTACGAGTTGAATGTTTCCCCGAGCATACACATTATTATGTTAGTGTCTAAACCTGTGCTTAACAGTTAGTTACTAGTAGTCAATGACCGTAATCTAGATATATACAGATGACCAGCTTTTACAAAATCAGTAGGAAACAGCAACTAACACACATCTATATCTTGCACTTTGTGGTTTACATATAGCCAAAAGTAGTTACAAATTCCTACACATACAATTCAACGTTCAGCAAAGTGGATCTGAATATCCTCCAATTTATTGATATGCTTAAAAACACTTATGAGTTTTATGGGATTGACTTTAATATTCTATGTGAGGAATTATCTCTCCCAAGCACGCCCATGAGTATGCTCTAATCAAGTGAAAGTCTCTTCCATCTGCAACCCTAGTAACATATTCATTGAAAGTAGGATGGGGGCTCACTTCATGGACTTGAAAGTTAGTGGAAGTGAACCAACAGACATCACATAAACATACTGGAGTTGTTTACAATCAAGAGGGCGCTAGTCTAATTTCTGAGCAAGGTTCAGAACAAGAAAGTTCTAGTTCACTGTGAAAACTCAATGATAGTAGCTTAGTTCACAAAAGGAAGAAGTGAGATCCCAGCACTGAACCAGCTGATGGAGGATTTGCTTCAGGTTAGAACATTGTCACTTGGCAGGAGTCAAAACATTGCAGCCAATGATAAATCCAACACTAGCAAATTCTCTTCGGGCAGTCTGCTCAGCCCGTGTGTCACATGCATTCAATAAAATGATAATCCGACCAGTAGTGCTCTTGGACTAAATTTCCCTATAAGACTGATGTCTACAGACCTACAATTGGTATATTATTTCCACTGGGCAATGAGTCAGCAAAAACTTTACACATAATCATGCAAGTGAGTTAAATTGCAACTAAGTGGCAAAGAAATTTATTAAAATTCGCTGATTGCAAAATATTGGCTGATCATCGCATTTTGAACCAGCAATGACAGCTGAGTGTCCAACGACATATATCTTTTATCCACTAGATTCAGTGAACATTTGACTCTTAAAACAATGGTATTGATCTCCATTATCTCTAGCAGATGAAGGAGCAAAATGCAAGCTCTCTTGTTTTCTGACTACTGCACTCTGTGTAAAATACATTCCTCTAGCGTTTCTGTGAAATCTGTGACATGTCCTAGCAATCATGATCAGAAGGTCTGCGCCATCTAGGCCCACGGGTCGCTGGCCAGCTGGTGTGCCGACAGGTTATGTGAGATAGACATAACTCAGGGCTAATAAGCCTAATGTCTCCTAGTTAGAGCAACATTTCCCAATTTTTTTCACTTTTGTTGAAGTCACAATTTGGAGAATCTGACATGCTAATAGTTCTACCAAGTAACAGTGAAAGTGGGCATATTTCCAGCTTACAAGTGTTTTCTCAGTTAAGTGTTAGAAACTTGTTTTTCTAATTTTGACAACATTATCAGGATTCTACATTGTGTATTGTCTCCCCTAACTTCTAAAACTTGCATGAGATTTTAGGCTGTGCTTCTTTCTATCGTAGATTTAGAATTAATCAAATTGTTGTTTCAGAGTTCAAAACAGATTTTATACTCTGCCAAAGAGTAATGTTTAACATAGTACCATTAATAAATTCCCTGAAATGACAATACGCCTTTTCCATAATAAAGTCATACCCACCTAATCAACCCCCCTCCCATCACTTTATCTTCCACAATTTCAGTCCATAAGCAACCTTAGAATTAATTCTGAGATCCATGGTTCAGGCTTTATACACTGGAATCGGAACATCTCAATTAGGGAAAAGGTCGAGTAATGTTCATGTATTCATCATGTTAAATGTCAAATTATCACCTCAGCGAATTTGCTAACTTTGTTAATGGTGCTGACGAGGCACGAATATTCAAAAAGGTACGGTGCTCACAAGATTCAGAGTGATTATTGGAATGTGAAATGGGATTAATGCCAGAAAATGTAAAAAGCTAAAATGTTTCCAATTCTAAATGATTCTCTAAATATATGTGCCTGGAGAACGGGTGGGAAGGTGATTGAAAGAAAATAAAATGTAGTATCTGAAGAAGATGAAAGGTACGGTAATTGAAAGTGGCTCATGCATTAGTATGTGAGGTAATTAAAACGAATCCGACATTATTTTCCAATAGCTTTTGCAATTTCTTTGAAGATAGGTGTTGAATTGCTTGAATAAACACAAACATTGATATGTGTTGGTACGTGTTTATTTATTAGAATATAAATCAGGTGAATGAAGCACACAAAACAAGGACTGCCTTATTTTTAACATCTAATTTATACGGAAAATATGCCATATGACTAAAAGCTTATATTTACATTGGTACTATCGGGTATTCCATGTTTATGTGACAAATTATTATATCTATATACCATTTTCTAATATGACAAATATTAATGAATGAACTTGCAGATGTGCACTGTAATATAAGTAAGTATGTTATACCACAGTTTACAACATTTTAGTTGAGCCATGATAGGCATATACCGATTTTCATTTTCGGAAAACCCCATAATCAGACTGCGATACTGACATTAGAGATTATGTTGGTGTCAACATTACCGATTTTTACTGTTAGACAACCAGTACTAGTTAAGCACCAAATTTGTGTGCCGCACAAAAAACATCACTATAGTGTAATTTTATCCAAGTTTCCTGGAAATCGGTCATTGCGGAAAGGAACAAGTGGCAGAAACAAACAAACAAAAATACAAAAACGAGCCAGGTATAAGGGCTAATTTTGTTTTGACCAATTAATTCAAATTACAACAGCAATATTTACATCTTGTTCGCATCTGCATGCAAAACACGTATCACAATTACGTCATAGATATATTGAAAGAACTGTAAAATGCGTATAATTAGCGCGAAATTTATATGTCTGGTCTCCCTAAGAGTGACAGTTAAAACTATGTGCGCCACATCGGAGTTTTAGAAAAATAAAAAAATAAATTAAAAAAGTGATTGACATACAAATATTTTAGCGTTGTGAAAATAAAAAAAAAACAATTTGTATATAATTCTAATAGTTGCTATGTGTCAGTATTGGTATAAATGATCACATAACAAGGCTTGCCTATATAAAACAGAAATAGTTAAATAATGATACATGTTCAATAAATAAATAACACTGTTCTGTGTTGGGTTTCCGCTCATGCGATCTATTACGATAATACATTGCAGAACCATATCATCTTCATCCGTTATGTGAAAAGGTGGCTTTCTCTGTTGTTTTCATATGAATTCGCTTCAAAACCTGAATCGGTCAAACTCTCGCGTTTCGGCGTGCTCCCCGTGCAAATGCTTTGTGTACTCCTCTTGCGTGATTTTTCGTTCTCTGCTAAAGGCTTTAACGTTTCCGACGTGGATGTGATGGACGGTGTGTGTGAGACATGTTCGTGCGGTACTGCCGTGACAGAATCTTTGATAAATGTCCGTAATGTAACGTCTTCCACGCTATCTACCATCAAAGGTGTGGTGCAGCCTGAACTTCCCGTTGATGTACTTCGCTGAATTTCAAAACGGTTCGATACGTTTTTCGGTGTATCTTTCATTTGCCGGTTAAATTTATCTGTCAATTCACAATCAGTACTTCCAACCGACAGGGATTCCTTGGTATCAGTCCATCCGATAGGAATACGGGTAAGGCGCTCGTTGGTGTTACTCGTACTACTTTGAACACTGCTGATATCAGGAGATGTGAGTGGCTTTGGTGGTAGAGGCGAATTCGTTCCTGTGGTCCAGCTCGTTCTCTTCCCCATTCCTGATCTTTCATCTTCCATGTGACCGTCTAGTGAGCGTTGGTCATTCGGTGAATCGCAATGACTTTTAAACATTCTGTAGTTTGGGTCTTGGTCTTCTAGCCAATACGTGAGGATCTCACCTTTCCCCTTCATTGAGATTAGTCCCCTTTCCACAGTTGTGTATCCACCAATCTTGTCGAGAATAGTTTTACAAGATGGACTGCAATGAATCTTTAACGCTGTAAATAAAAAAGAAAGCTCCTTAAACCCAATGCGCACATTTTGCACTCAACACAGTAGGTAGCGCGCCTGCCTGCCTAAGGTGTTACTCTGCGATTGCCGAGATCGTGAGTTCGAACCCTGGGCTCTGTGTTGTAATATGTCTGTATATTTGCATGTACAGTTTGCAATACACCAGTAATACAATGATCGACATCGCATTCAATAATTGATGTTATTATTATATCTGCAATAATTATTTTACTCTAGGAGTATGTGTGTTCATATTGCGACTACTTACGAAGACCGTTCGATTCCATTCTTGACGCCGTATTGACAGTGTCACCGAATAAACAGTACCTGGGCATTGTGAGGCCAACTACACCAGAACAAACAGGTCCTGTCAAAATAAATAAAACATGATTTTATGACCATCAAAGTTCACATAATTCAAAAAAGGATATCATTCACTTGAATCTGTATTTTGGATTGTCCTAACGTGTGGACCTACCTGAATGAATCCCAATCCGAAGTTTCAGTTGTTCCCCAGGCCTATGTCTGATTTGAAAGTGACCTATTTCATCCAGCAAATGGAGAGCGGAAGATGCAATTTCAGCAGCGTGTCTGTCACCATTACGAATTGGAAGACCCGACACCAGCATGTAGGCATCGCCGATCGTTTCCACTTTGTAAGCGTCGTAGTTCTTTATGGTAGAGTCGAACACCGTATACAGATCGTTGAGTAGATCGATCACCTACGGGGACAAAATATGATTGGTCGAAACGATCGTAATGGTCATTTTTAAAGTTTCAACTGTGTTCCCAGTACAAAAGAAATCAAATGTTTGTGTCGTGCAGGCATGGCTGAAAAACTGTGTATAATTTGATTACTTTCTAACAACAAAAGAGCACCATATCCCGTTTGGTGCAGTATTAGACACGAGGATGTATTTGCAATCCGATTTCAAAACAATCAGAAAAATTATCAATTCCCTTATTTTATATTTTTATAAAAATAGTTTTTAAAAACGTGCAATGCAAAACACGAAATGGCTCGATTCATCGAATATATGGTTCTCTGATCTATTCTCCATGAAGTAGTACATGAGATACGTGTGCGGGAGAGTTTATGTCAACTCAATTTAAAAAAAAAAATTACCTCATGCTTTTCATTTGTGCACAAAAGATTGCAGCTTACGCTATTTCAAAATGCCTTTGCTGTATGGCGATATTTTATGCGATGCCGCTTAAAAATTTAATTGTGGAAAAGATGGATGTGTGTGAACAGAGAATGTTCATCAATTGTTAATTCTGCACAACGTATAACTACTCAATAGTAATTAATAAACAATAAGACAAGCGGTCTGCCTCAGTCTTTCTATTACGTTTCAGCTTATAACCTCGTACCTGATAAGGAGTACTTGCTGATGACAATGCTGTGAATCCAACGATATCACTGAAAAATATTGTCACACACTCGAATGATTCTGGTTCGACGGGTCGACCTTTCTTTAGCGAGTTTGCCACTGATCTGAAAAAAAGACCGTGTTTATATATATGTGTGTGTTTTCAGCATGATTCTGAGTAGTTTCCACATTATTGGGACACCCTAATACTCTGAAAAGCAGATGGCGATTTTTACTGGTGAATATTTAAAACTACATCGATTATTACACTGTAGTGAGAAATACATGCTCTGTGAGATTGTCAGTAGAGAAGTGCCAGACTTGTACTTTTTCACGCAGTAGTTCGTTGGTTATGTGTCGCGCTCGTCCTTGTCTGTGCGTCACGTAGCAGTATGTGCGAGTTTGAACTGTATTGAACTGTTTCTCATCACTGATTTCAAGTAGTAGTCATTATAGCCAATGTTACCGAATTCCGTATATTTCCGCCATTATGTCTTAATGGAAACAGTGCCATTATTGCTATCATTAAAACCAATTTCTCCATTGTTTGGGGTCGCATTTATCTTTAAAAACTATCAAGCACAATGTTCCGACACAAAAGATAATGTTAGCCATGCCAATGTTTTTTTTCTTGTCAACATTTACTACTCAAAACATGCGTTGATCTCCCCCACTAAACATTAACATTGTTGTTTGTGAAGTGTGCATTTCTCTAAACCTTTTAGACATTGCACTCGGTAAACAAGAGAGCAATGAAGCTCAATGCATCGCCACTTACTTTGGCAACATGCTGTGTAGCAAGTTGTCTGTTTTCTTCTTCTCTTCAATCAACTGCTGTGTTCTATCATCAACGATTGACTCTAAATTATTGGCGTATTTTTCCATGATGGCAATCATGTTGTCAAAGATGTTTGCTTTCCTGTGGAGAAATAACATACACTTGTTATTGTGAAAAACAAAACAGTTCTACAACACAGAACTAAAAAAAACCGTGACTTGTGTATTTGATGCTTTATAAACAATCATAGCAGCATCGGATCAGTGGTATTTTTAGGGATCAGTTTCAATGTCATAATACTTGATCATACAATCAAAGTAAAGTTGTATACATTTGGTGTTATCAGTGTCAACTTTTTCGCCTTTATTTGCATTTATTTCATTTAAGGGCTAGGTAGAGCTCTCCAAAAAAAGTTCACCAAAATAAAATCTCCAGAATTCTCTGTTTTATTAACCATTCTCATTTTAATTAACCAATAAAAATTGTAATAACATTGTTTGTAATGTTTTTTTGATATAAAAGTCGACACTGAAATTGACATATTTACGTAACCACGCAGTATGTTTGTTAACGCTTTTCTTGTGTTCAGAAATCATACATTCACATAGACCAATGTTGTTTTGCTGTACTACGTGAAATACTTATTTTTTACCAAACCTTTTCTTTGCAATCTTTTATTTTATTTATTTGTAGTTTGCATTACCGGTCAAATGAAGTACAATGTCACACACTAACGGGTGATATTTCTATTGGCGGTTGTTCGGTAGCTTGTAAGGAAAATAAGTCTTGGGAAAAAGTATGCGAATATTTGACGCAACCACAAGCCCGTACTTTAATAATAATGTAATAATAAATAGAGGCATATCCGCTGCTCCCATGGCGTATCTTACTAATATGTGAACACTAGAAGAAACATGCCCCCGCTTAAACAAAATGTGTTTTCAGTCTTTCATTCGAAGTTATAATTCCACGTGTTGAAATGCACCATGGGAATGGCACTGTGCGTTGAAAGAGTAGGGTTATTTTTAGATCTAGGTATAATACCCTTTCAGCTAGGACAGACTATTCAAGTATTCACTTCTTCCTCAGGTAATATATCATAATTGAGCAGCGACGATCTGTATAGTCATGAAGCTGACTAATTGTTGTCTCGATGACATCTCTAACAGATGTGATATAATGATTCCATTACAGTGGGTATCTACAATGCGTTGAGGATTTCCCCGAGATCGTTGCGATGAGTTTTGACAACGCTTTGACACGAAGTATGTATTGTGGTCATTGCTCAGTTATATTATTACAAAAATAACACAATTTATCGATATCTTCACTCGTATTTCACGGGTATACTTGACTTTAGTGTGATAGAGGTAGAGGAAATAGAAAAATTGTCATTGTAGTTTAGTTTATTGAGTTGCAGGCAGTGATCTTGTCTAGCAGAAGAGAGTAACCCCATTCCTACATTCACCGCACTTTATGTACACGTAATTTATTAAAATTCAAGATAATACCAAATCAGCGATATCGCTACCTGTGATTACTACCGTCGTGTTTGGTGCCTCTCGAAATGAATCACATTATCTATGCAAGATAGAATCACCAATCACCCCCTGGGACAGGCTTAAATCTATGCAATGATTGGAAATGTCTTTTTCGTGAGAGAATCATTTTTGATGCAATACATAAGAAATATAAATTCTCCCATTAAGGGAAAATTGTCTATTAAAACAACTCGGCAAGCTTAAACGACAAATGTTTGGGTGTTAAAAAACGGAATAACTAGATTCGCGAAAACATTTTGGAAGCACGATCTCGTAACTAGAATTAATTATTCTGTCTACCGAAGGGAGTCGTGATTGATGGTTCCTCTGCAGGGTCGGTGGCCCCATTACTCTGTAGTCATTTACCGAGGCTCAAATACTAATTCCATGCTGTACTCATAATATTCACCATTTCTGTAGCTCCTCCCCATCAGGTCCATTTCCACACACAAATGTGCTGAGAAGGACTGATAGTTGAAAGACAGTATCTATACAGATAGACTGATAGTTCAAAGACAGTATCTGTGCAGATAGCGGACTTATAGTTGAAAGACAGTATCTGTGCAGATAGACTGTTCATATACAGTATCTTTAAGATGACTTACTGTCAAAGACAGTACCTGTCTAAGTAGGCTAGTGGGTCCAAGTTAGTCGATTATTTAAAATACATTACATAAATCATTACTTACATTCCCTTTTGAATAGGTTTTAATTTGATTCTTATAGTTTTCAGATCTGGTCTGTTTTCTGGTATCTCATGCCAACATTCTTGTATTGTATCTACGACGTAGTCTGGTGCGTCTATTTCAAGTAGATCCATAATATTTGGTCGAAATGGTCGAACAGGATCTAGCGGTGTTTTCACACGTTCTATGATCTCTGTAATTTAAAAGATCGAAGTAAATTAAGAAACTTGGCTGAGATAGCTCTGCTGTTAGCAATGCACACTTCAGTTAGATGGGAATATCATCATGAAATGAACAAATCTGAAACTGCAGGTTTCACCTGAGTTACCTATATGTATACTATCAAAGCAATCGAACTTTTGGTTTTCAACAAGAAGACAAAAATATCACTTTTTACCAAACACGACAAAAATATTCTTCAAAATTAGAAATTTGAACAAATTAGAGAAAAGTATATCCAAGCTACATACACACTATCAAAAAGTATCAAAGTATCAAAACAATCAGACGAAGAAGTCAAAAAAGTAATGGTTGCCCGACGACGGACGACAGACAATCAGGATTATGATTAGCTACGCGCGACGAAGTTGACAGCAGAGCTAAAGAGTCCTTACCTTTAGGAGAAAGTTCAGAGTTTCCATAGGGACCAGCGCGTAGGAAAATTTCGTACATAATAATAGCAAAGGAGTAAATATCTCCTTTCTGGGAGCCCTCTCCTGGTGGGTTGGACATGCGCAAAAACTCGGGCGCCCTCCATAACAGATCTGAAACAAAATAAACACAATAAACTACGTCTTAAACAACTACATGAATATGTGATGCTCAACCAATAAAAACAAGACACGTCACCAAACGTTTCCGGTAGAGAATAAATCACAAGACAAAGTGCTGAGGAAATGCGCTGATTCCACGAAATATTCGCAACATCAATGTAATGCGCAGACGAGAAAACTCACTTCTGTAAAGTGCGAATTCACCGGCTTCTTCCAAATCTCGATCGGCACCAGCCTTGAACTCATGGAGACCGAAGTCCGTGATCTTCACAACCCATCTTGAGTCCACTACGCAATTCGAAGATTTCAAGTTACCGTGCGATTTCAATTCGCTGTTGTGAATATATACCATTCCCTATAACGTAATGAGAAAAAGCATATTTAACTACAGTAACTATTTTATAATCGTTCACCAGATATATTACATCTCATGCAATTCATGTTACATGCCAGATATAGTATAGTATAGCTCCAATCATCATATGATCCGCAAATATTTGCAAATTATACAGACATTACTCATGTTTTCATCATTATTTTTTTTATTTTCCCTATTATAACATTTACTGTGTAATTATGCATATAGAGAAACTCCTTTTAGCGTCGTATGGGTCCCACATGATATCACTGATTGCATGCTATTCATCGCTTCGTTCATAAAAATGCATTGCAACAAATAGATAACTACCAAGAAAAGTTTGTTTTGTCAAAATATGAAAGTTTAAAGCGGGGGATCGTCACCTGCGCACGCGCGGGAATTGAGTCCCAAGCGACGATAACAACACACGCTAAAAAGAGGCTCATGGGTAGACGCTTGTTTGTAAACAATGTCACCCCATCTGACGCATGCGCGGGTGACGACTCCCCCGCTTTAAATTGTATATCCAACTGCAAACGTGTTATTTAAATTAGATGTTCTTGTAAAATATAATTATAAATCAGATTATGATTACCTTGATAATATCACTAACCATGGATGCTACGATCATATTATCTAACTTAATCTCGTCGTTCTCCAAGATATCCTAATATACGATATACATAAATAATCAGATATTCATAGACGTGTTATGTACATGCATATAGCAGACAGTCCATAGAAGTCTCTAGCGACTAAGCATTTCGGGAACGTAAATGATAGACCACTTTTCCGGAAGTAGCAAGACTGAGGTGAGAAAGACACCTGATGTTGTCAAGGCGGCAAATACAAACATGTCAATATGTTGATATTCAGAAAAAGGGGATTTAATTTTCGCGACGTCGGTTGGTACATTCAAAAGCATAATATCACACGTGCATATTTACGTTACACCTTATCTGCGGTATGCGGCCATGCGAAACATAAAAGAACGCTAACAGCTAACGCTAAAAGAACACTGTTAATAGTGTCGACATTGTTTTATCTGGGGGTCGTCAGTAAGTTAAAAAGCCGTATATAGGCATTAATTTCAGGGACTACACAGATTGTCTATTTGAGCGACTTTTCTCAAAACTATTGACGCCATTGTTGTCGTCATGGCCGCTTGAGGGCGCGACTCAATAGAAAAGTGTATGACTGAGTATACTAGTATATGTTATTCTTACGATAGCGATTAGTGTGCACGTGTTGATGCATCGATGAAATAACATACTTAGTGCGTTCGAATTGTTAAGCCAAACACGTTTCGATTATTAGGCAGATCTTTACGCGTTAAAGCTTAAATAATTGACGCTCGATGGTCTTAAATCGGCATTGATGAAGTACGACATTATCGTAATTTGCTTTGTATTAACTTATTGGCGGGCTTAGTAGATTATGTTATGAAATCAGTGAGGCGGGAAACCAATATAAGTGAATTGTTTGATTCGGCAAGAAGAGAAACGAATGTAAGTGAATCATTTGATTCGGCGAGGGGGGGGGGGTGAATGTTACTGAATCCTTTGAATCGGCGAGGACGGAAATGAATACTCGTGAATCAGTGGTCTAAATTATCCGTAGTACCCAGTGAAATACAGCATTCTGTACATAGCCGGCAAGAAAAGAACTTGTTAGGAATGTATAGCTACCTGTAAACTGCCTCTGGCACAATACTCGGTGATGATGCATATAAGTGAGTATTCTACGCATGCGCCGATGAAAGGATTGATGTGATCATTACGTAAATCCCGTACCTGTGAAAATAAACTAAATTCATGTTACTATGAGGCATGTTGCAAAAACTAAGCTTCATACAGGGCGCTCTCCAGTGACGAGGCGCGCTTCGTTGACAACTTTTCATGGGTGTAAGCGGTGTCATTCGAAGCATAGAATCTGGTCGTCCTTCAATAAAAAGATGTTTGTTTTTTTAGATATCTCTTATTTCAAAATAACGCACGATCTCACAACTGCCTGTTGCCTATATTGAACGATATTACTAATCCTCATCTACGTCATTTTGACGTCACTGACGCGCCTCGTTGCGAGAGGGCGTTTAGTCTAGTGTGTTCCCCTACACTTATGTAGCTATGAGGCACGCCAGTATTCAACGCAGTGACGTTGTTTGAATAATCCTGAAGTAAGCACTTACAACTTTGAGTTCCTTACGAACTTTTCTTGTGAGATCGATATTTTTCTTATTAATATGCTTGATTGCGACAACGTTTCCCTTGAACGTCCCTATTTTGGTGAATATTTGCTGGTTATGGGCATCAGTCGTTGACTGCAGGGACTCCATGCTACGGAGACTCATCTACGGAAACAGAAACAGACATGATGAACAATGAAGCAGTACATATATATGCCCAATATTAGGTAAATGACTAATTTTATTGAAATATCATCCACACATAATATATCATGTAAATGAACAAAAAATGCGAAGTAGAAACAATAAATCTCATATTCAGTCAATTTTCAGCACCACAATTATGATTTATTTAAAAAAAAATGAAGGTTTGACAGGAACTCAAATATCACACCTTGCTACTGGAACGATACAAAGCATTATCACTTTTGATGCAAATATCTCGGTAGTCAATCTTCCACAGCAGACTTGCCAGAGCTTGCTCGTATTTCCAATTTCTATAGTAACAAGGGAAATATAAGATCATTGTCAATCCGACTGTTAAAGTTATTATATCTTAACTGCGTGTAAATTTGTAAAGTTTGTGTTTTATGTACAGTCAAAGTATTTTCGTACGTTTTCTTGAATACGTTATATTTTTAAATAACATCTTATTATAATACATCTTGCATCGAAAACAATATAATTTGCCGCTCGGGGAATCCTGTATGAGAACTCGTTCCAAAACGTATTAGCACGTTCGAATTTTCCCTTATTTTAGGTAAACTACGTTACCAGCATGCACCACTTTCCTGGAAGTAGCAAAACTGGGGTGCAAAAATATTCCTGCTTTGTCATGGCAGAAAATACAAACAAGTCAGTTTGCTGATAGTCGATGGAAGGAAATTTTATTTTGGTGATGTTGGTTGGTACACCCAGAAGCACAATATAACGCATGCAACTTTATGTTAAACCCCAAAATGACATGCGCGCGCATGCAAAACGCGGTATTTTCGACTTCTGGGAAAGTCGTCTCTAGACGCGTAATAGGTTATTGACGTCACATAAGTACACTTCCCTCCATTGAAGAAACGCTATAGCGCGACGGAAAAGGATTCCTATCAGTGAACGCAAACGTTCACACAGCGCAAAACGATATATTCTCTCATCGAATTATTAATACAAGCAGGAAAAATGTGCATAATAAAAAGGTTATCGCGAGAATACCGCAAAGTATGCACTCAGGCAGTAGGGGGACGCGTCGACCACCGCCACTCGCTGGTCGATATAATCAGCGTACCGCCTTTGTGCGGTATTCTTGTAAAAACCTCATGATATTGATGCTCGATTATTTCCTCTCAATAGTCATGATATTAAAATTTGGATCCACCATGCACGATAACGATGGAGTCGCCAAACACGGTACTAACAGTGAAATCGCCATGTCTACACCTGAATGTGCTTGGCTGCTCTCATTACGATGTGCGTAACTAAAGGGCGTGTATGCGACATTGCGGCAATAGTGCCCTACCTGTACGCCACAGCAAGCACTATTACCAGTACCAATAGTATCCCACCGATAGTGCCACCGACTATCTCTGGTGTGTAATCCTGTATTACGGGACAGTATTCACCGTGGAATCCACACTGAGGCTCGTCTGAAGGTTTTATGCCAGATACCCAATCGATGGTGACTCCGGCTTTTGACACGTAAACCTATTATGCAAAATTAATATTAAATCTCATATAATTGATGTAGAATTGTCCACGTGTACTATAATGATTATGTAACGTTTAGTATCGGCACATATCGACCTACCACTTCATTATTGATCATCTGAAACAATCCGACTGGTAACATCCCGTAGCCAGGAGTGATATTCATCGGTTGCCTAGCAATCACTGTAAAATTAGATTCAGCGTCACCATTATTGTCGATGAAGGCGAGCGTTCCGGTGATACCTTGGGGAAAGTCAGGAGTAATTGTTATAACAAACTGACATTAACCTATTTTACAAAATAACACCCGTGTCGTGGAACTGGGGGGGGGGGGGTATATTATGCATCTTAATCGTGTATATGAAATCCGCGAAATAACATGTTTATATTCGAAATCAACATTGGCAAAAGATGATAAAATAATCATCGTTATTTTCAATCGATAAAATCATATTTATATGCATGTATGTATGTAGGCAAACTTGAGTCTGGTCTGTAACTATCAGTCAAATATGATATTGAATCAGGCTAATATACTTATTATTGAAAATACCCATAATTCATTAGTGGAAATATAGTACAAAATACCTAAAAAAACATAATCACGTGATTTAAGATAAAATCTCAGCAATCACTTAATGCGTGGCACATTCTTCATTTATACAATGTTTCAACAAGTTTTTACCCAAGGGAAAGCGAGTAAATAGTACGAACCACAGCAACTATTAAAATTATGTATTCCCATGATGCGTTGCACGAAACTTTCAAGTTGGGATGTAGATCGTGATCACATCAGGTCAATCACAGTTATTTTGCAACGCATTCGCTTACGTCATCGTATTACCACGATAGCGCGATTTAATCAACTGTCCATTGCGGCGAAGTGCGTGATTGCGCCACCTCATCCACGATCATACTTTATATTTTGCGTCATCTTATGACCTAGTTCCTCGTTTCATGAATTTATAGATGTTATGGCTGGGGACACCGGACTTGAAGTTATTCACGCAAAGCGTCGGGGTACACCTTTTTAAATCCTATAATGTAACGCGTTGTACATTCCGCGATAAAATGACGTCACATTATGCTAATGCTAATGTTCCAGTAGCCATATGCGCAACAAATATGACATGTAATGTAATGTAATGTAATGTAATGTAATGTAATGTAATGTAATGTAATGTAATGTAACCAACGAATGCACTCACTTTCGTATGACCTGTTTTTAATTTTTTCTATAATAGCGGTCCCATTTTGAGGTTCGTCGCCATCTTGTATAACTTCTGTCATGGCCTTTGCAAACAACATTACGGCATCGTACAAGTATGCAGCTTCAATAGGAATCTGCAAGAACATAGTTATAGTAGAGAATCACTGGGCACAAATAAATATTATAACCGATATATGGTCTCTCTCTTTATTAACCTATACTCACATATCCTCGGGGGCGGAGCTACGTCACAGACGTTCCACGTTGCTAAGACGCGCACCACTGTACATGCATTTATATGGGCTCTGTGCGCGCTGCTGTGGAACGCCGGTCGAGCCGGTGAAAATTCGAGAAAACAACACAAACTCAACTTTGAAGTAATTCCGAACAACCAAATGTATATATGTTACACACGTAGGGCTAATCTTGTTGCACTGTTCAGAGGAGTCTCAACAATCATCCCAAAGTACCGTTTTCTGCGAGTTTTGGGCCTTTGTTTTCACCGCCGCGGGTTGCCAGGCGGTGAAAATGCCCGGATGTCCGCCCCCGAGGATACAAACATATGGCATTCATCAACCATATCTCTCAGAACAAAGATTAGGATCTTCAACACAATCATTAAAGTTAACCGGTACTTCTGTATGGGGCAGAAACATGGAGAACCACCGAAATCATCACCAGAAGAATCCCGACATTTATAAACTCTTACTTACGAAGAATATTAAGAATATAGTATCCAGATGTGATCACAAACCAGGAGTTATGTGAAAGAACAAGTCAGCATCCCATAAAACAGGAAATACTACAGAGACGCTGGCGATGGCTAGGACACACCCTTCGAAAAACAACCCAAAACATCACAAGGTCGGCACTCAGCTGGAACCCACAGGGCAAAAGGAAACGGGCCGTCCAAGAAATACCTGGCGACGGGACCTAGAGGCCGATGTCCGGAGGTTGGGCTATACCTGGAGGGAAGTGGAGCGTCTGGCACAGGACCGGCCTGGTTGAAGAAATCTTGTTGGTGGCCTATGTCCCAGGAGGGACGATAGGCATAAATCAAATAATAAAATACTCACATTTCTACGGCGATTTCCCATTGCCGGATAATTAAATGGTGGCAGCGACAGATAATCATCAACAGTTATGGTAAAATGTTCGTATGTATCAGAGATCGGCGGTGTTGCTATAAGAATCAACAGAGACTGATAGGCGGACATCAACTCTGGTGTATACCAAATTTCATATGGATCTGCAAATCATTATAGAAAGGAGATAACTTTCGTCTGTAAATATATAACTTTGTTTAAAGCGGGGGAGTCGTCACCTGCGCATGCGTCATATGGCCGGAGCGTGTCATTGTTTACAAACAAGCGTCTATCTATGAGCCTTTGCGTGTTAGCGTGTGTTGACGGTTATCGACGCTTGGGACTCAATTCCCGCTTTAATTTCTAGGTTAATTTTTAGGGGGCTTCATTGAAATTTAACTAACTAGACGTTGGTCCTCGCCCGCCGCCGTGCTCGATATCATGGGACCCACCATGAGACGTGCACAAAGCCGTATGAAATTCGTATAATGCGAACGGTCGCTGCTGGACATCCGTCTTTAAGTGACGTTATTTCAGCTTACGTCCTCGGTAACAACCATGTGTAAACCATATTTTAACGGAGAATATCTCCATGGTATCAATACTAGAATAATTACCTTGTAGATATCCAGCAGCGTTACCAGGATGGTATTGAGTTGTATCTATGGTGATTATTGTATATTCGCCGTTAGTCAAGAGGCCTTTCTTTTGAAGTACTCGCATGAATTCTGGTCTGATAAAATACTCCCCAAGGAAAATGTAAACTGAAACGGAAAAATAACATTTACACAAAACAGTTCCCTTATTCTGAAGCACAAACTTATAGACGCTGTTTGCGTGTTTTTATTTACAATAGGAAAAACAGCAAAGTTCGTTAAATTATAATACAGATCTGTAAAAGTTTTTTTTTTTTTTTTTTGTAAAATGAATCACACTTTAATCCACTTACTCCTAGTTTCCTGATAGGTTTCTTCAATAATCGGTGGGAAAGGGTCGGGAAAACTATTAAATCCGGGAAAATATGGATGGGGATAATACTGAACACTCTGGATAGTGACGTTGGAAGCGGCAAGGTCGTTTTCCAGACTGTGGCTAACAGCCATCCATTGCGTATCTTCCGACGTGACAAGGGTAACATGGTCCCAGTCAAAGTATTTCAACAGCGCCACCACTGATTTGGAGATTTGAGAATCGGGGGGATACGTCCGGGCGAAAGTTGGATATATTTCCTTGTCACTCACTTCATACTCGGCACATCTCTGAAAAGGAGGACACGATATGAATGTCTAATTAGAGTATATTGATGATAGCTAAATGAGAGAAATCAGCTGACACACGATCCAGGCACACACTCCGCTGAACCGCATAACTGTGACTTGGAAAATTTGCGTGCGTCATACTAGCATATAATACACTGCGCATCTCACCAAAACGTATATTTCGACGCAAATATGTTTATATCATAATCGTAATTTCTATTTTGTTCCGATACCAATATAATGAACTCCACATTTAGTATTCACTTAGGTCTCTGAATTCACAGGCATCTTATATAAATCATGCACCAAACAACGTGAACAAGGGATATTATCTCACACGCGGCATTGTAAGCTACACATTGATACAGTATGTCCATTTCTCTCTCAATAGTTGTTTATCGACACAATGCGCCTAGAACCCACTTTCAGAAAAAAATACATTTATTTAACATCACTAGGTTGGAGCTACGAATGCAATCCCCATTAAACCACGCTTGATTGACACTGTCCATCTCAATTTCACATGATGGACGGCATCCATGTGAACCATACTTGATAAGTAATGGCCATATGAACCATACATATGTGTAACCGTTCAATAAGGAACCAGAAGCAAGCAATCTGAATTCCACATGACGGGTACCATCTATATTTCTATGCATCTATGTGTGGTTTCTATGGCTATTCCACATATGAACCACACATGAGATGAGCTCATAAGATTAGTACAATCCATACGAATCCCACATGGTGGGTATCATCCACCGGGTCTCGTCTGATATGTACCAGACCATGAAAATCCCCCACATGATGGGCACAGTGCATCTATACCAAGATATGAACACAATAAGACGAGTACCGCGCAAAAGAATCCAACACAATGGTTTCATACATCTCGTGTGATGGGTACCCAGTCAGGAGTAATGGGCGCCACTCATTTGAAGGGCGCAATCTTTCTCATTGTGGCACGTTAGATACCGTTCATTTGAACGTGGTGGGAACTAACCATCCGAAACTTACAAGACCATATTATTTTTGGATATTTACACAATGCGTATATCAGCTGGAGATGAAAACTAGGTCGTACTAATTCTAGACGTACACTCACGTCATTCCAGATGCACCTTACATATTCATACACACATTGACTGGAAATAAGAAAATCGATTTCCGCTCTCAGCATATGCCTGAAATTTGTACCGTTAATTACTCATTATGAGTGGTAACGTGTATTGTGGGTCAAAATAGGCGCCGATGACGTGCTCCTTGGGACCTACAGCAACATGCAGATTATTAAGCTCAGGCTGCAGGCCGTTTAATTAATGCCAACAAACCGGTGGTCCATTCACGTTGATATGATTGAAGTGGTGTTCTTTTGTTGAATCCAACTAATACACGATTTTACTCTCGCGGCATCAATACTTTTTTTAATACATAGCATATTTGCAGAGCGGCTGTGAACGAATACTTCAATTGAAAGTCGGACACTCTGTCAGAGCCACACACTATAAACGTACCATTCAAAAAAAGGAAAAGTATAGCCCTTGGTAATCGAGAGGAGATAAAATTCATATGAATACAACATTGAAAAAACAACGTTTCTTCAAAATGTGAAACCAACATCCCGTGGCGACACATGTCGGAAATTCTTTCCAGTAGGCCTTACCGTGAATACAGCAACATCACAGTACACGGCATCACGCTGTAGGGTATTTATTTGAACAGACATTACAACGGAAATACCACGTGGACACGACCCACGTGTCACACAAGACACCACAGATACCTTCAGACTATATTACAACTCGTAGTACAAATATTACAGCAACAATGGCTACCATTATTCTGTCGGAAGTTAATTAAACTGCATACGTATGTACGCAACAAAGGACACTGGCTTCAACATTAATATTTCTAGAATTATCACACATTGTTGTCTATATGTCAGAGAATTCTTCCCAACTGTAACCATGACAACATACAAGGAAGGTAGAGAGAGTATCGCAATGTCTTAATATCAATGAAATATACATTTACTGATGATCTTACGCGTATCTTGGAAACGTGATTAAATCCATAAACATACAGATCACGATAAGTGAGACATGCTCAAGTCTTCGGTAGTTTCGTGCTCGCTGGTATTACTACAAACATTTAAAATAGCTTGTTTGTACATCACAGCAATCTATTCACTCCGAAGTAGCAAGTCTTTGATCAATTTACTGCTTTGATCAACAAGTATTTATTCAGTCTAATTGGAGATAGATTATGTCGGTTTGTTTGAAGCGGCATCTTCTTACGATACACGTGGATTTAGTGTACGAGGTCGTTTCGTGAAATATAGAAGGTATGTTTTAAAGTGCTGCTTCTATTCAGACTGGGGACTCATCGCATGACGCGAACAATAAAATAATGTATGTGCCGTGTATGACTTATATGTTTGTAACTTCATTGTGCGCGTGAATTGTTTTTTTTTTTTTTATATTTAAAAAACAAACACAGAAGGACGTAAGGAGTATGTTAGGTGTTGCTAGTTGTTAAGACGAACACACACGCATTTCAACGAATTTCAAGGCAAAAGCAAAGTAGAGATGGTGTCATCTCACGGAAACGTGTTGAGTCGTGGATGTAACGCTTCTAATGGGTGCACCAGTAACCGACTGCGCATGCGTTTTAACTAGTCGTTGGATTTGTTTCCAGTGAGGTGACACACTTTATAATATACTGAACGACCCCCTTCTCTTCGACGCCACCATCGACGTTAATTCTGTTATTCTCGTCGTAAACCATTTTCTCGCGATTACAATATATCACAAAATACTTCCATATATTGGCAATTAGTGTAAAATGTTTGCCGTGTTCGTAGTTGATATGTCTCGCAGGTATGATTTTTAAGATATGGGCAAACACGTGCCTTTAAAATATTTACCATATTGACTACTGGGCACATTGAATATAATGACTCAGATTAATTCCCCCAGATGCTAGGCACGGAATGTTCCTGTGTGTTTTTTTCTATTTGTATCTAATTATCTTGCGGAGGTTCATTATTATTGTATTGTTATAAACATGTGAAAGCTTTCTTTAATTTGAAATTATTTCTATTTATATACTGCCAAAGTATGTTCGAAATTGATTTCTTGGATATACGTATACTCGTGATTGATTGTCCCTTCTGTTCCCTTCTTAATTTTTGATCAAAACCGACATTGTCTATATCGTCCAAAAAGCAGAATATGTACACCTCTCCAGGGTTGTTCATTTCATTACGGATTGAACGTTTAGAAGTGGCGCGTGAAATGTTCTCCATAGCATTAGGACTCAAAAACTATGGTGTGTCTACAGCACTGTGTGTGTGTGTGTTAAATTAATGTATCATTCTCTTCCGTCAACGAGCACGCTGTTCCCTCTGATCGATCTATCCTCGGGGGCGGAGCTACGTCACAAGACGTTCCACGTTGCTAAGACGCGCACTGGGCTTTGCGCGAGCTGCAGTGGCACACTGGCAGTCAGCTGGCGCACACGTGATAATAAATAATTACTATATGGGGGCCGCCATCTTGAATGCAGCGTAAAACTAAATAAGAGACAAGTTGTGAAACGCGTTTTTCAGATTCCTACAAATCTGGACAAAAATACCAATCTTTTACAAAAATACGATCCGTTGGGGTTGTATTAGGCCAACCGATAACAAAAATCGACCGAATTCGGCGTTTGTGTGTGGACAAATCTTTTGCATACGAACACCTAATTACGCGAAGAACCTAGAACACTTTCCTGGGGTATTTGAAATCGAAATTGTCACCTGACTGTAAGGCCGTCGCTGATTGGCTGCTGAGCTGGAATGACAATTTTTGGTTTCAAATACCCCAGGAAAGTGTTCTAGAATAACTGTTACACAACAACTTCAAATATTAAAATTTAGGTTAAGGTAAAATTAACATTTGCATTTTCTGCACACATTGATTTAATATTTAATGAATACCATTACTCTATTTTAACTGCGTTTCGTAATTTAATGAGCAGTATTACCTCGTTATCTTAAATCATCACTATAAATGTTTTCATTTCAATTCTATATTGCGATGAGAATATATTATTTATTTTTATTATTGTGAAAGGTCATAATCGAAATACAATATTTTTGTTTCCTTTATCTCATCACCAGAGAAGAATCCATAAATTCTATGTAAGTGTAGGAATCACCATTGTACTGAGGGGTATTGTGAGGTTTCCTTTATTTCATCACCAAGGCAGCACTGTTAATTTCCAGAGAAGAATCCATAAATTCTATGTAAGTGTAGGAATCACCATTGTACTGAGGGGTATTGTGAGGTTTCCTTTATTTCATCACCAAGGCAGCACTGTTAATTTCCAGAGAAGAATCCATAAATTCTATGTAAGTGTAGGAATCACCACTGTACTGAGGGGTATTGTGAGGTTTCCTTTATTTCATCACCAAGGCAGCACTGTTAATTTCCAGAGAAGAATCCATAAATTCTATGTAAGTGTAGGAATCACCACTGTACTGAGGGGTATTGTGAGGTTTCCTTTATTTCATCACCAAGGCAGCACTGTTAATTTCCAGAGAAGAATCCATAAATTCTATGTAAGAGTAGGAATCACCACTGTACTGAGAGGTATCGTGAGGTTTCCTTTATTTCATCACCAAGGTGGCACTGTTAATTTCCAGAGAAGAATCCATAAATTCTATGTAAGAGTAGGAATCACCACTGTACTGAGGGGTATCGTGAGGTTTCCTTTATTTCATCACCAAGGTGGCACTTATAATTTCCAGAGAAGAAACCATAAATTCTATGTAAGTGTAGGAATCATCACTGGACTGAGGGGTACTGTGAAGGCGTAGCCCAAAATAACTCACCGATGTCCCCCTGGTACGGTGTTAGCTACTTACACATCGGCTACTTTAATTTAATATGAATTACTAGGCAACATAATATCTCCACCAACAAATCATTCTCTAATTTCCACTATCTGCTGACACTGACCACTCACTGAAGTCAGGACCACACTTGCTTTATGACTTCTCTGCCTAAAATACCCCAACAACACTGGCACACTGAATGTGTCAGGCCAGCTTTTTCATGGCCAATCACAGTTGGCGTGTTTCTCAAGAATGCATTAAATTATCAGCTGTAATGCTGTTGCTGATTGGCTACGCGCGCTGTCAATCAATTGGCCGGTATAATATATTGAAATTCTCGTTTCGGACAATTATTTTTCTGTGTTGAATGATATAAATCACAGTTTGATATCTCAATTACGTCACCATTCTCATATTTTATGGGACTGTTCATTCTTATTCAGTTATTGTACATAGTGGTATCTGTGCAGGGTATATATTCTGTATTGTAATGTTTATTTCGTACCAAGCAATTATGAAAGCATATTGTGAATTAATTTTCATTGTTGATCTGATGTCCGTGTATAAGCTGGTATAAAATTACGTGAGTAAACAAATAAACCATGTCTTGGAGTATGATATATGGATAATGCCTTCACTACAACTGACTAAATCGTTTGGCTTGACTGTCACAGATAAGGAAGTGTGCCAAACGGGATATGTATTCTGCATAACTTGCATAGGACTGCGAGTGCATTGAATGAGTAATGGCTTCTTCCCAATTAGCATGGGCCCGAGTGTGCCGAATGGGTTATGCCTTCAGCCCGACGGGACTACGTGATGGAGCGTACCGAATTTGTAAATCGTTCTGCTTGTCTGTCATAGATCTAGGAATGTACATACTGGGTACACCCTTCTCTCTGACTTATATAGGGTTGGGAATGTTACACAGAGGATTATGCCTCCAACCCAACTGGCATAGACCCTACATTTGGCATAGATCTGGCAGTGTACAGAATGAGTAATGTTTTCCATCTGGGTCGTATGTCTGTGAAGGCCAGGCTAAACATGGGTCAATATTTGGTTGTTTCTGTTTTATATATTTTAATATAACATGTAAACAGGAGACAAGTACATACTTAGTTTATTGTAAGTCGAATTAATGTATCAATCTGTAACATCGCAATAACCGCATTTGATTTTATTGAATAAACTCCGCTTTGGTTTTAAAGTCACAGTGCTGTACGCACACGTTGGAGGTATTACATTATGTGAGACCTCACCAGAACAATAATTAAACTTAATGGCACTTATGAATGTAAGCAGGTGATATCATGTTGAGATCGTTCAGTCAGTGTCACTCGTGCAACAACAGCGAAATGCTTTTAACAGCTCTGGGAAGTATTGCAGCTAGTAATCTTTCAAATCGGTCATTTTCTGTTCACTGCGAGATCTCGCGTAATGCGTGAAAAGCGCAGATCGAACGTCTGCCACATAAACCGAACGATTTGATTTTTAACGTGAACTTTATATATATATAGTTCAACTTGATCGTAATTGACCCACATCAAATGTGTATAGTACATTATTGGGCGTGGAAATACCCAGAACATTTGTCGAATCCCCTCACTAGTAAGCCGTACCAAATTTCAAATCACTATCATTCTCCCAAAAACCTTTTACCATTTACCTGACTTGAGTATAGACAACTATTACGATGATTGCAGAACTGGTATATGTACGGGTCATCTTGACATAACTGTAACATGTAACTGATCACGCTATACAGTTGTGCTTACCGTGACTACATTGTTTGAGAGCAAATCAGTAAATACGAACCGAGAAGATTTGGTAATTCTAAACTA